CACATGACGATCCTCACCCATGAACGATCTGAACCACCTCATGAACACATGACACCCTCACCATTTGAACACCACTGACAAACATTGAACACACTGGGACAACGCTCACCACATGAAACCGCTAAACGCACTTCACCTCACCATGAACATCGCTGAACACGATGACACCTTTACCATCGCCCGCCCTGATACAACTCACCATTGAACCACCAATGAAAGCAGCACTCGACCACCCTCACTAATGAACATCCATGAATACACTGACCGACCTCACTGTCCCCGCCTGCCCAACCTGAAACACCTGAACATCACTTACCACCTCGCACGAAAACTCTGAAGCACACTGAACAACGCCTCACATGAACAGCACTGACACACTCCAAATTGAAACATCCTGAACACGGATGATCACCCTCACACGCAAACACCCTGAACACATAAACACCTCAACATGAAACACTGACCACCTCACAATGAACACGCACTGAACAACTGGGACACCACACAATTGGACACCTGACACACTGACACCACTTTACGATGAACACACTACACACTCACAAATGAACTCCGCTGAACACACTGACCGACCTTGCCCACCTCGAACACTTTACCATGAAACACCTGAACACAATAATACTCACCATGAACACCAGCTGACACCACTGACACCCTCCACCCTGCCCACGCATGCCCACCCTGAACCATGCCACCTCACAATGAACACCAATGAACACAATAACCCCCTCACAATGAAAACACCATGAACCTAACTAACCACTTCACCCTTAACACCATTAACACAACTGACCACCCTCACAATTGACACACTAACAACCTCACATATGACACCTGAACGCAACTGACCAACCTCACAATGACCACCGCTGAACGCACTGACACCCTCACATGAAAACCTGAACACTGACCCTGCTCCCTGCCCACGCTGAATCACCTTAGCAGGAACACCGCTGAACACACTATGAAACCTGACACCTCACCATTGAACACCATGACACATCTTCGTTCTCTCTCTCTCTCTCTCTCTCTCTCTCTCTCTCTCTCTCTCTCTCTCTCTCAGTCTCTATCTCTCTCTCTCTTTCTTCCTCCCCACTTAACAGAGCCGAGGTGAGCTAGCGGTGTCGCTGACGGTCTGATGAGCTTTGTTATAGTTTAATGAACTGCACCACGAGTTAACCGCACCACACGATCGAGCCCGCCACGAGTTAACCGCACCACACGATCAGCGGTATAACCAGCTAACGATGTCAAGCGCCACTATACCACTCGATGCTCCAACCCACGTCTATCAATTTAGACGGGCTGCGGCTAAAGGCATGGATGCATCGGTGAGGTGCGATGATGAGATGAGTGGTGAAGCAGAGAATAGCGGGTATACGGAGCAGGGAGCTGCTGCTGCGATGAAGCCTAGGGTTGACCGAGCCTGCCTCGGGAATAATTTAACATTACTCGGCGTAAAAACTGGCAGACGCGTTACGGCATCTGTCACCCGCTCACGATCGTCTGGAAAATATATCGCATGCGCGCACAACCGTTACCCCCTCCGTCTCTCGGCAGTGACTTATTCCTCCGCCCTCATCATCATCCCATACTCGCTCTAATATTACAGCAACTCGGCAAGTATGAGAAACGCGATCGCTAAAAATAGCAG